TAACACATGAGATCTCCCAGGTCATAAATTAAAATATTGCAAACATCAAGCTATACTGACCTAAAAATCCTCACAATACAGAATCTTCAGTATTTACCTCTACAGAAGTTGACCTGAGTTTGTAAATTAGACCTCTGGGTGAGTTTACTTTCTGTGCTGCGTCATGGATGAAGGAGTGTTGTGGAAGTATCACACCTCCATCTAGTGGGAAAAAGAGGTAAGGCTAGCGAATACATGCACGAAGGGGTCGAAAAGGCACGTTTGGGTTGTGATATAAAATTGATGGTCTCAAAATCTTTTAAAAGGTTGAATGCTCAATCAGTTTCTTGTCCTAAATGCCAGGAGAGGCAGGTGGGCATGAATTAAAGAAACTTACTCTAGGGTATGTCTGCACATCATCCTGCCCACCAAAATATTTATGGGCAGCATTAAAAGGTATTTTTTCCTTACACAAGTGAGTCATTTTTAAATTGCATCTGTATTTGTGTTGATTAGCTCAATCAAACTGAACTGGCTTCCAAACCAGCTCATTTTTACATTTAAATACAGTTATAAAATGTGCACATCTTGGAAAATATAAAGAATACTTTGTGAGTTTCTGACTGTAACTTGGACAGTGAACGGCATCTAGTGACAAAAATAACCTGAATGGTTATTGAAATGGCAATAAATGGATTGATTTACTGCGTGAGCTGTATGCCAAGGTGACCCGGGGAACTCTGGGTATACATGCAATCTTCGTTTTCTCTGTGTGATCTCTTTTTGACTGATATTGGGGGAAGAGTTCAGCTGGAAGAAATCATTTAACAAAGCAAGGACAATCTTCTCCCTGAGCAGGCAGGAAGAAGGCCACCACCTCTGTGTCTGCGTTCAGTTCATCCTCGTCCTCATCATCTGCCCGAGCTCTTTCTCAGTCTTCATTTCTGCTTGGCCCTGAGCTTGTGGTGTCACGTCAATCACACCCGAGGGAACGCACCAAGGTAGATTTGTTTTGGCTTTAATGAAAGATGCTCTTAAGATGCAAAGTTCAAGGCGAGAACTGGAGGTGGTGTGGGCTGCATAAAAAGACTCGTGACCTTGATGAGTGGTTGTACTAAGATGGTGATGTCAGCCTTGGGAAGGACCTAGGAGTGGGACACAATCTGTTATTTTTTGCCATTCATAATGACCTTTGTCATCTCTATGCTTCATGTCAAGTTGCTGAAGTGTTCTTGTGCAGTGAGATTAAATTTATCTCATCTCCCAGTCCTTACCAGAGGCCTCTTTGGCTGATGCTTTCTAATGACTCTGCTGGAGCAGAATTGGAAGACTTTTCAACTGCAATCAGTTCAGCGTCACTGAATTTATCACACATGATGTGATTTTATTATATGTAGTTTCCCCGTATGTCAATATCATATCATCAAAATGGCGAAGACCATTAGAATTAGGTTTCACGCACACTTAAGCATCTGAGACCTGTGCTAAAATTATTCTAAACGAATACCAGGCAGGCTACTAATCCAATCTAGTAAAAAAAAAAATATATATATATATATATATATACAAACCAATAAAAGGAAGCTCTCTTTTATTTGATCTAGCGCAGGCTTGTTATTCTGAAAACAGTTCGGTAGTAGAAGGCTGAGCAAATTGTAGAGAGGGAGGCTCACCAGCAAAGGGCACACTAATGGGCTCACTGACAAACCAGCAGATATTCTTAATTAAAGATTAAGAAATCTCACAGCCTGACCCACATTTTGTGAGCGTATGCACGTCTGAATACGTGTGTGGCAGCGCTGCAAGGTCCTATTTTGCCTGTCCTCAGAACGTGTCCATTATTGATGGCATCATTAAAATATGTACAAGGACAAAATAGGTGGTGCAGCGAAGGTTTTTGTGTGATAATATTGTGTTAGTGTGTGTGTGTTCGCATACATTAGATAGAAGGATTCGAGAGAACTTGAAGCAAATTTAAATTAAATACTTTTCCTATTCTTTATGAACACATTCGTAACTTTTAATATTGTCACGAGCAACCAGATCAGCAGCAGTTCAGTGCGCCCTCAACTTTAACTGAATATGAACGCAGGTTTTATCCTTGAATGTTAATCACTGTAAAACTTTGCATATAAGTGTGTAGGTGTTTGTGTGTTTTGTTGTGTCAGCTAAGTGCAGTGTGATCTAACAGCAGCTGACAGGCAGGTTTGAGGCCTCTCTCTAGGGTCCTCCGTGTGTGTTTGTGTGTCTCTGTGTGTATGTGTCCTGCTCTAGTGGTGTGTGCTAATTGGAAGCTCAGCGGGACAGGCAGCAGGTCCTCCGTATCGCCCATGTGCACATGTAGAATCATACTCAGTCTCTTTCTCTCTCTCACTCTCTCCGTCACACACTAACACACACACACACACACACAGAGAGAGAGAGAGAGAGAGAGAGAAATCAACAGCAGTCTGGCCTGTTAGCCTTTCTACATTTAACATGAGTCCAGTCTGCAGCCTCTTCACTTATTCATTCCTCTCCACCTCCTCCTCAGCCACTTCTCGCCTGCTTTAACCTGAAATGACAGCTGCACTGTGGCCAGTGGAGACCTGCCTGGCTCCCCTGTCTCACTGGACATCAGAAAGAAATACCACCAGGTAGCTTGGAAGAGAAGAGAAGAGAAGAGAAGAGAAGAGAAGAGAAGAGAAGAGAAGAGAAGAGAAGAGAAGAGAAGAGAAGAGAAGAGAAGAGAAGA